AAAAAGGTTTTTTCTTACCAGCGGTCATCCCTCGGCAGGCAATGGCAAACCTCCGAGTGTATTTTTGCCATGAAAAAATGCTTCTCACAAAAAATACAATCGCCGTTCGGAGTCGGCGTAAATTTTTTTTTTGCCGACGGTGCTAGGTATTTTCCTCCATATAAGGTATGGTCAGCCTAAAACATTATTTAAAATTGACGCGATTTTCTAGCTTCTTGAAATTTGCACTTTAACACACTTAAATTTAATGGGCTGTAAATCTGCATAAAAAGTTAAACATTTTTGTATGTAAATAATTGTTAAAGTTTGTTTAATTTTAATAAATTTTATACGAAGTTTAAAATGTGGGTAAATAAAATGCCTGAAATAAAAAAGGTACAAATAAGACGATGCTTCGTCAAAAATGAGCAACGTGTATGTCAGTATTTGGGCCTTGTTGTACTTATCGCCATAGTCTTACCAACTGCAAAAATTCTTGTGGCAACATTGTTAATTAGTGACATTTATGGCGAAATATTTATTACCATTTGCATTGTGGTTGCCGCAGGAGCAGATATTAATACAGCGACGAGAACGTTCAAATGCAAATAATGTGGAGAAATAAACTTATTAACCAAAGATTATTGACTTCAACCACAGCTTTTATTTCATATTTGTAGATATTGCGGACTCAATAGAAATTCCAATATTTCGCTACCGAGTATCGAAAGTATTGGATACTTTTTAAATCGGTACCGAGTATCGATCAATACTTAAAAGTACCGACTGAGCACATCACTACAAAAGACAACAGCTGGCCGTGTTGCCTTCGAAAATACCCCGGATCGGAGTTAATTCCCAACAATTTCGTGCATTTGTTCGGCTGCTTATGCGCATTTTAAAGAGCAAAATGCATGAGTCAAATAACTAAAAACAACATTAAACAAATATAGAAGTTATAATTGAATGAGTAATAGATTAAAATTCTACTGGCCGTGGGACTCGAACCAACGACTGCCGTCAAGGCACACTTTTGGTCAGATCAATTTTGCCGTTGACCCGGATCAACTTTTCCGTATGTTTATGCTTTAATCAAGTTTACTACATGTCTATCGAGATTATCGACAGCAGCTCCAGAAGGACCTTCCTTCCGCTTCCTTGGAATAATACACGAGTTTCACATTCTTATTCTGCGACCCCAAACAGGATCTAGTAGTATATAAATCACGTATCACGTCATGTATGTGTACCTATTAAACGCTGCACAAAGGACGCAGGCACTAGACCACGCCTACCATCCAACAATTCAGCATCCAAGTAACCGCCTTGTGGTTCGCCGCTAGTCCATACGAGTAAATAATCGCCGGCGCATAGTGATAGCTCACCTTCAGCTTCCCTAATGAAGAGAGAGAAAATATATTATTCGTATATATAATCTATTCAAATCAAACATCTTTTTCTAAGTGAGTTGGTCATTTGAACCGTCTACCACATCAACCCAACCTAACCTAACATCTTTTTCTACTTAAATGAGCACGAACTCAAATCTTCCCATTTGTAAGTATACACAAATAATCAAATATGGTCGTATAATAATCCTAAACTAGTCCCGAAATAGTCCTGAGATAGTCCAGAAATTTTCGTTTGGACACATAGGAAGCAATTAGAGCTATTCTGTTCGGTTACAAAAGCAGTACCTAGTTACAAAGTTTCTGCTGGGTCACCACCAATACCGAAAAGCTAAGATAAGGCACACCAATAAAAATAAATTTTGCTAAGATTTTGGCCAGTTGATGGAGTGCGGCCGGATGTTATAACACAACTGGAGGGACCTAAAATTTTGGGGCGCCTCCGAACAGCAAATGGTTTTCTGAGAAGCTTTTTCATGCTAGAAATACCCGAAGTTCAAGTATTGCATCGCAGGAAATGCGATGGACGAGACATGGTGGCAAGAAATATCCAACATGCTGTTGGCAAGCAAATTTGGTTAGGCGGGGACTACACAATCGGTTTAAAAGCCAAGTTTAACATGTTTAGCTTTATTTATGCGCACAACCCGGCGGAATAGGAACTGCCAGCTTTCACCAGCACGCCTCCAATAACGAAGAGAAACAGAGGATATGCTATTTTCTAAAGGAGTAAAAAAAGAGAGACGTTGGTCCGAAGAAATGAAAGAATAAGCGAATAGTCAAATGCTTTCAGGACCAAGGCTAGTTCTTGCAAAAACATGCATGGAATTCTGATAACATTCCCTCAGACAACACTTGGATTTTTAGCAGCTTGTAAAAAATTTAAACTTAGGGGTGTACGAGGACAAGACGAAGTACGTTATGGCACAAGCAAAGGGTTTTCGTGACTTCGTCGGCGATGTCGACCAACGATGAAAAGGCTTTGGTCGCTTTTGAGGACACAAGATCAGTTACCCTATTCGCGTTTGCCAAGGGTACCGAAGACGATGGAACGACGAACTCCGTGACCTTTTCGATTAGTCCAACGCATAAAAGTACAACGATCGCGGTGGCTTGAACATATCATACGTATTGTTGAGTTCAACAGTTTTCAACAGGGTGAAATGACACTTCGACTCTACGCCAATGGCTGGAACTAAATGGGGGACCCCCATGATAGCAAAGTAGGGACCAAGTACAAAATGACCTATCTACATTTAGGATGAATAACTGGCGGAACTTAACAAAGGGTAGATGCCTAGATTGAAGTTTTTGTATAGGCCTATACCTACTTACGATTTTAGGGCCATAAGAAAAAATAGGTGTTATGAAAAAGAAAGAATTATATATAAAGTGTTTTACAGTTGGCGCCAGTACAACCTACTATTCACATTCCGCATAAACGTTTTGAGGGTAAGGTTAATGGACCACCACGCCTTTTTTGCGGGGTTTATTAAGGTGGCAGATCTATGCCCATAAGCCGCAACCGACCGATCACGATGCCACCATAAGAAGCCATGGTGGACATGTACATAAATAATGTTATATTCCATATATCGATGGCTGAGTGGAAGATCGTCCTATCGCGACAGCCAGTTTAAAAACGCCCTATCTCAGAAAACTTTTCAAGAACGCCCTACTTTAGAATTTTATTGAAAAACACCCTATCTTTGAATTTGGTCGAATAACAATCTATCTCAGAACTTGGTTCAAAAACGAAACGAAAATACAATGAAAATAAGCTGAGATAAGGCGTTCTTCAACCAAATTCTGAAGAAGGGCGTTCTTGAAAAGTTTTCTGAGATAGGGCATTTTCGAACTGACTGTCGAGATAGGTCGACCTTCCACTCAGCCATCGATATAATGGGCGCGTTCATAAGACGTAGCTGTATAGCTCATCTGCTATAAAACTGTTGGCAACTGTTAAACCCAACAATTACGTCTTAGAAACGGCTTGATGAATATGCTGCCAAATGAACAGCTGATAAATGTAAACAAATGAAATTGCAACAAATAGAGATAGTTGCGCCGATAATATTCACAATTCAACGCTGAGGTGCCGCCATGTTCAAAAATCGTTCAATTATAAAATATTTTGGTTACTTAATCACATCAGTAATATAAAATAGAAAAAAGTTATTTGCAACTGCCACCTAACAAAGCGGCGTTAAATTTAATATAAGTGGCGTAAGTCTTTTCTATCAGCTGTTTAGGCTAAGCCCAACACGTTGAGCCTAGGTAGCGTAAAAATTTTCCGCTTGAAAAAATGGCGGAAAGTTGCCAACCGTTAAGCTGAGCGGAACTACTCAACTGTGCGTTTCTAAGACAAATAGCCAACCGTTACGCAACAGCAACGTCTTATGAACGCGCCCAATGATTTTCGTGGGTCTAAGAAATGAAAACAGATTTTGTTTGATAACTCACAGACAGCTTGTTTTATTATATTTTATTTCCATATCTATCCACCCCTTATTAGAAAACCCTTTAATATCAGATTTCTTAAATAAATCATATCTGTAATATCCCCGCTCTTCTTATTCTATATGCATCAACTTTATGTAAGTACTCACTCTGGTGGATCGTAGGGAAAGCGCGCTATGAAGACACAGCATCGTCCCTTTCCAGGTATGTCCAACATGTCCACCTGTGGTTCACTCACGCCATTTAAGTTGTGATTCCGCGCTGTAAAATTAAAAAAAAATTGCATGAGAAAATATACAAACTTGCAATTATGTGTTTCATACCGTCCATTTCTACCCATCCCCACTTACTTTCTAAATCCAAGGCGCCCAAAGCCAAATTGCCACGATTGTGCAACATTGATGCACTCAGGCTGTCCGTGAACTCATCCAGGCCCCATGTGCTAGGCGGTATCGGCGAGCATGGTGAGCTACGATTGCCATAACGCGTCAACGGTATATCGATTTCGTCGAGCATTTTCATCTTTGTAGCGGTACGCAGTGCAGCCGATGAGTAGGGATATGATGCGCTCGAGCCCACATCAATGAACGGTGGGGGATATGAATTGGGCAATCCAGCTGACAGACCACTCAAACCGCCAATGCCGGTGCCAGCACCCAATCCGTACAAGGAGGACGCGCCCGTCACACCACTCAGACCCGACAAGCCGGTAGTGCCCAATAAGGTGCTCGTATCGAGCATATTGCCCAAGGTGGGATGAGTCAGCGACGAACCAAGCGGTGGCACTCCGCCGGTACCACTTAGCCCCAAGGCCGAGTAGCTGCTGGTGCCGGTCGGTATGTTATGCGCGTTCAGCGACAAGATGGGCATAGTTGTGCTCTGTAAATTGTACAGTTGTATTGTGCCACGCTACATATTTATGTATATTTAAGAGTGATTTGCATAGTTATGCGAGCAAATGTGTTTGCGTATTTATTGATTATAGGGTTATTGGTTTTCAATAAAAAAAATAAGTGTCGTTTAGTTGAAGTAACAGTTGTGGGATAAGGTTTGAAATTCATATAATAATTTTTGTTAAATGATAGTTTATATTTGTTTACACATTACACAATTGCAGACACACACACAAATAGGGATTCAATAGAGAGAGATAAAGAGCAAATACAGAGAGACACAAAGAAAGAGAGTGACGAAAAAAGTGGATTTCATTTTTGTTTTGATTGAAAAAAGACAGCGATATATGTAGACACCAGTAGACAAGGACAACACATTTGATCATTTATGGTTTATATATTATTTGATTTGGATTTTTGATTATTGCGACACAACATAGTTTTACGATTTAAAAAACGATTCATGTATCACAATTTAAATATTTTTGTTTAGTTTTGTTTAATGCATTTCATAGAAAAAAAGAAAGAATGAGAGAGACAACAGCACATATGAAAGAAGGAAAGAGAAATGAAAAATTGTTTGTTACCGTTTCTTCACTTTCGGAACATTAAAATGTTTTAGAAAAATATTCATATACGAAACGAGTATGTATGCATATGTAAACGCGAATTGATGTAGCTATTATACATACATATGAACAGCTATTGTATATTTTTCTATTAATATAAGATGCTGACTACGAAAACGATTATGTACGAATCGATGCACGAAGGATGTGATTATATGGTCATCTAGAAGCGAAACTTTTAAGCATTTGTTGGCATGAAATGTCTTCCTAAGCGAATACGGTAACACATATACACATAAAGTGTATGTATGGATGTACATAAATATCTATGTATGTATATACGCACATACAGAGGTAAAGCATGAATCCATATTCTCTTAATGTGGATACGGGCGAAAGCATTTTTTAACTCCTATAACTAAGTAACGTAAAACAATTAAAAGTATACACATATTTAAGCGTCTCCTAACAGCAAAAAATTGTGTGTCTCCTATAATGGACGGAGCAAAGAAGAAAATAGAAAATTAAATAAATTTATTGTAGGTACATATGTTCGCACAAAATCGAGCTCAACGTAAAAAGAGATTTGATCTTAACATGGCGTTAGTGGGCGGCAACCGGTTATTAAATAATTCAAGCGAATATAAAATTTTAAAACTTTCATACATACGTATAAATTTAACACACACAAGCATACATAGTAAGATATATACATATAGATAGTAATATGTCGGTAAAAAAAATGTGTGGAATGCGCATGCATGCATTATTTCAATAAAACTAACAAACAATAATTAAGTAATAAAATAATTCTTTTTTCGACNTATGTATGGATGTACATAAATATCTACATATGTATGTATATACGCACATACAGAGGTAAAGCATGAATCCATATTCTCTTAATGTGGATACGGGCGAAAGCATTTTTTAACTCCTATAACTAAGTAACGTAAAACAATTAAAAGTATACACATATTTAAGCGTCTCCTAACAGCAAAAAATTGTGTGTCTCCTATAATGGACGGAGCAAAGAAGAAAATAGAAAATTAAATAAATTTATTGTAGGTACATATGTTCGCACAAAATCGAGCTCAACGTAAAAAGAGATTTGATCTTAACATGGCGTTAGTGGGCGGCAACCGGTTATTAAATAATTCAAGCGAATATAAAATTTGAAAACTTTCATACATACGTATAAATTTAACACACACAAGCATACATAGTAAGATATATACATATAGATAGTAATATGTCGGTAAAAAAATGTGTGGAATGCGCATGCATGCATTATTTCAATAAAACTAACAAACAATAATTAAGTAATAAAATAGTTCTTTTTTCGAATGACATAAAGTTTTTCAAATTTTATTTTCGCAAATGGCTACCCCATGGTAGAAAAAAGAAGGTATGTAGTTTCACTTAATGACATTTGACTTTTGCTGACATTTGCATCAAACTCTAGCTGCCAGATTAAAAATAAAATTTTTTTTTTTTT